GCTGAGCTCTCGCCCTCTAGAGTCCACTCGTTTACTCCTGTTCCACATGTGGTTGCCATGGTTTTTGCACTCAGGACTTGCACAGGTTCTGAGGGACCACAGGAGCATTGTGCATGCAAGGAGGTGACAGGTGTGGTCCAGCCTGTCAGCACGCTGTGGTCTCGTGTCTAGTCAGCCCCTCTGCTGCTCATGTGTGCTGTATAAGTGCAGGAAGCAGCGCCCCTGAGGTGAGCTTGTCATCCGGGTGTCTCTGGAGTCATTGCCCCCTGGCTTGTGGTCTTCTACCTGGAAGAAGCCATCCTCTGTGTCCAGGAAGTCCCAGCTTCGCTTCCTGCAGCTGTGTGCTGAAAGCCTGTCGTTTATCGTATCCTGGGTCATTTCTTTCAACCAAGACTCATCACGTAAAAGGAGCTTGGCTTTTCTTTTAAGTCATTTTCCTGTCCATAGACAATCCACATGAAGCCTCCAGGTGTGTGGTAAGAACTTAGTAATTCAGCCTTTTCATGTCACATTCTGTATGTCATTTAAAATGTGTGTTACATCTGTCAGCCCCATCTATAACTGAGGCATACATTGCTAGTGACATCTGTGACCTTAGCTATGTTGCTGTGGTCACTTAGGACTCATTTTCGAAAGCCTGCCGGGACTCTACATCAGGCAGACATTTCTAGCCTCCTTTGATTATACCTGGCCCACAGTAAAAATCAGCACACACTTCCTCTGTGTGCCACTTTGTAGTGAAATGTTGGGATGTCTTAATTTCTCGCTTTTTGTAGAAAATGGGGCATATAAGTAGGTATTCTGCTGTTCCATCCTGCATTCCACCAGTTCAACTTGAGCAGCCCTTGGAACCCAGGTCCAGTCAGCCCCTGTGGGGGCTCTGCTGAGCCTGCCCTGCCATGTCCACTGGGACCTGGGGATGGGCTCTCCATAGCTGCTGCTGCAGTGGCCACTTGTCACTCAGGAATAAAGGCCTCTCTTCTTCAGGAGATAAGTTGTTAAATAAATGATGCATTCTTACCCCTTTTCTCTTTTGGTTTCTGGGGCTGTGGTTTCACGTTCACATCTTTTCCTCGCTCCCCTTCGCCCTGCAGTTTCTGCACAAGTATGTCTGTTCATTTTGCTCCAAACTGGCTCATGTTCACTATAAATTAGTGAAAATTGAGGGGTGCTGAAATTATCTATGCAAATATGAGCTATTTGTGATAACATTTATACTATTGAGAAACCAGAACCATAAAGATACACAACACTTTACTGCCTCCACCCATTTTATTCCCCTATTAGCAGAGCAGAAAACAAGATTTTTTTAAAAATACACTGACCAGGGGCCAGGGATTTGGCTCAGTGGTTCTGGTGCTTGCCTAGCAAGCTCAAGGACCAGAGTTCGATCCCCGGTACCAAACAAATAAATAAAATAAAATACTTTATACAGCTTAAAAATACACTGACCAAGAAGAATCTAGATTAATTTGCATTTTAAAAATGCAGAAATATTTGATAATGCCTGAGGATGCAGGGTTTTTTCACTATTCAAATTTTTGTTACAGTTTTTTAAGAAACAATAATACTGTTTTTTGTTTGTTTGTTTTCTTTTGTTTTGTTTGGTACCTGGGATTGAACTTGAGACCTTGCACTGTGAGGCAGGTGGTGGAACCACTGAGCTAAATCCCTGGCCCCTTTATATTTTAAATAGAAATATAAGAGTTCTTAAAATAACAAGAGTTCATGAGATTATAATGACAAACCCATCTGTAGACTGTAAGCAAAATCAGTATAGTACTTTAGCTACTTGGAACCCTGAAGGAATTAACATACTTCAGGGAGTTGGGATTTGCTTGCCTTTTAGAAATATTTTGGATAAAACATTTTATTAAAAATGTTTTTTTCTGTACCACCTTAGTCACAATAGATTTGCTTTAATGTCAACTTAATCTTTATTTTTATTAGTTGTTATACAGTGTTTAACAGGCAGTTAATGCTAAAGTACTTCAGGGACCTTACTGGCCCCTCCTTAGGCCCCAGCTGTGAGTGAGTCATGAGTGAGGGTGTTGGGGGCTCTTGGGATTCTAATGGGCTTTGTGGTTCTCTGTGGTGCTGAGAAAGTGAGAGTACCAGAGACAGGTCCCAAGCACACAAGCTGTGATGACAAACAGGAACGTGTATAAGGTGCTCCTGCAAACCAGAGTGTGAACAAAAGTTCATAGAACTGAGGAGGATCGAAGGCAAGCAAGGAAGTAATTCAGGAAATGAATGCCTTTCAGGAAAGGGCAAGATGTTGGGAGTCCCCATGTTCTCTCAAGTATCCTGCAAGCAGTTATGTCCCAAACCCTGTCCCCTACCTTGTGCTGTTTATCTCTGCATCCAGTATAGCAAGCCGGGAAACCACGGTTCTCCACACAGCAGGTCAGTGCAGGTAGCAGTGTCTGTGTGCCTGCTGTTTACAAGGCTGATGTTGGCATTGAGGGGTTGGAACAGTGTCACCACATGGCACCTGCCCTCACAGCTCATCCATTTGGGGAGCTCAGATACTAAGCAGGATCCCTAGCTCACGATAGCAAGTGTAAATGCCAGCTCCAAGGGGTCTTACAGAACAAGGGATTGAGGAAAGTACCAGTAGAATAAACCTGAACGAGCAGCTGACATCTAGTTGGAGTGCGAAGGGGCAGAAGTGGGTGCGCTGCAGGCCTGAGCACAAAAAAACACCTGTGTGCAAGGACGCAGAACAGCCCGGCGCTCCTGGCCACTCACTGGGGGGAGGCTGGTGTGGGTGGCTCAGGGTCCCGCCCTCTTCCAGAACTACATCAAGCCCCAAAGAGCTTCTGTTTAAAGAGTTTAGCTGGCAATATTGACCATATTCAAAATTAAACTACAGAAAATATTTAACATGTACATATTAGTTAAAGAAGAATTGAGTGTGTTACATTCATGGAGCGACTCCCCAGGAGGAATGTGACTGTGATGTTGTGCAGGTATATACTGATAAAAATTTAAATTTAAAAAGTAACAAACCTAGTACATGTTAACAAAAGCTAACATTTTTATGAAAATAGACATGTTTTCAAAAACAGTAACAGCTTTAGCCAGAAGAGGAGCATAGTTTTATTTTTTACAAATCTCTGCAGTGTCTACCTGGTCCTCTCGTCTAGTTCTGCATTCAGCCTGTGGCCTTACATCACTTTGGTTGAGTGTAAGAAGTGGGTGGCAAAGGCCCTTCCAGAGAGTTGTGGGCATTTTCTTTGATATTGCACCAAAATTTAATAAATAATCAGTTTCTTAAAGGAATCTGCAGCGTGGAACCTGAAGCCAGATCGATGAGTTGTCTGTACGTTTTATTCCATTAAAATCCAGTGATCCGCCTTGCAGTATGAAAGGCTCTTTTGCTCTTGAATGATATTATAACACCATTTATTAATCATGTGGAAAGTATTGGTTCACCAAGTTTTGCAAATTTTCTAAGACATTTTGCAAACCTCTGACACATTTCAGAATGTAAATCCCTCTTGTCATCACCACCAGTGGGGCCCACATGGGCAGGCAGGAGTTCCCGAGCTCCCCAGAACTTAGTCTGAATCCAGCTTCCTCACTTGCTGGCCCTGCAGGGATCCCTTAAACCCGTTTGTCTCGGGTGTCATCTTGCTCCTTGGCCCAGGTAGTACTCCCTGAGTCATAGTTACTGTAGAGCTGCTTCTGTGTTGCTGTCATCGTGAACCGGTACCACATGTGACTCATGCACTGAAGGGGCTGCTCGTGAGCGATCTGCCGACAGGGGCCGGAGAAGACAACTAACTGCCTGTGCCAGGTCTAGAGCCAAGCTGCCCTCTGAGCTCCCACTTTCCTGTCCTGAGTTCTGTAGCCATTGCCCGCTGTCACAGCACCCACACCAGTGGTGGGGAACCTAGGGCATGGCCCACTCTTTATCATTGAAAGCTCTGAAAGGTTCCCCATCGCTGGCCCTACCCTCACCCCAGACCCAGGATAATGCTTGTCGTGCTACTGTTCACCCAGCACAGGGCCTAGCATGTGATCACTGGTGCTCAGAAAACATTTGTTGAATGAATATATTGAGAAGGAATTTATTTTGAACTCTATTCCTTTTTTTTTTTTTTTTTTTTTTTTTTTTTTGGTATGGGTTTACTGGGGATTGAACTTGGGTTTATGAAGCAGGCAGCGGCACCACTGAGCTACATCCCCGGCCCTTTGAACACTATTCTTGATGTTGTTTGAAAGTGAAAAAAACATACTTTACCATACTAACCCTATAATCTGATCAGTGACTAGCTATTTTTTTTTTTTTTTTTTGGTATGGGTTTACTGGGGATTGAACTTGGGTTTATGAAGCAGGCAGCGGCACCACTGAGCTACATCCCCGGCCCTTTGAACACTATTCTTGATGTTGTTTGAAAGTGAAAAAAACATACTTTACCATACTAACCCTATAATCTGATCAGTGACTAGCTATTTTTTTCTTTTCATTTAAGGAATATTTGACCTCATTCACTCCTGCCCATCTCTTTTTTTCTTGAACTCTGTTAATTCAGCAGGCAGCGGCACCACTGAGCTACATCCCCGGCCCTTTGAACACTATTCTTGATGTTGTTTGAAAGTGAAAAAAACATACTTTACCATACTAACCCTATAATCTGATCAGTGACTAGCTATTTTTTTCTTTTCATTTAAGGAATATTTGACCTCATTCACTCCTGCCCATCTCTTTTTTTCTTGAACTCTGTTAATTCAAAATAAAAACAGAAGGGCTAGATGAGGTTATGCATACCTGTAATCCCAGCATCAGGGAGACAGAGGTGGGAGGATGGTGAGTTCCAGGCCAACTTAGCAAGACCTTTCTCAGAATTTTAAAAAGTAACAAAGGCTGGTGGTATCGCTCATTGCTCCTGGGTTCAATCAAGTACTGCAAAATAAACAGACATTTAAGGATTCCACAGTGCCTATGGGTTAAACATTTTGGCAATCAATGCACTTTGCTTTCTGCCTTTCAGATGTTCCTCCTGCAGATCAAGAGAAGCTTTTTACCCAGAAGTTGCGTCAGTGTTGCGTCCTCTTTGACTTTGTTTCTGACCCACTGAGTGACCTCAAGTGGAAGGAAGTGAAACGAGCTGCTTTAAGTGAGATGGTGGAATACATCACCCATAATCGGAATGTGATCACGGAGCCTATTTATCCAGAAGTAGTCCACATGGTAAGTGTGTGCATACTTAACCAGCATGTCCCCACCCAGAGCCACGGCAGGACTCAGACATTCCTAGGACAAGTGAGACCTCTGAGCCCAACACAGTGCCTATGAAAAGTGTTCTTTGTAATGTGTCCAGTTCTCACAGCACAAGGAATCCGTTGCCTTCTAGGGACCAGATAATAAGAGCTTTACATAAACAAGCATCCTATGGGGTATGTGTTAGAACACTTATTTGTATTTATTGTTTTGTTGTTGTTAAATTTTGAGGTTTTTGGTAGACATATATAACAATACACTAGTGCTCTTATGTAGATTAGAAGTAACATGCCCATACGTGTGCAAGAAAATCCCAGTGATGGGGCACAGTTAAAATACTGCTGGGACTGGGCTGGGCTGAGAACAGTCACCTGATTGGCAGAGAAGGCTTCCATCCCCTGGTGCTGGGTTCAGGGTGCTGTGTCCCAGTTGGCTGAGAAAGTTGTCATCTTGCAGTTAGTTAATTGCATGGTTTATTCCACCCCTAATCTCAGGGCTCTGAAACCTCTCCCAGCTCTATTCCAGCATTCCCTCTGGCAGTACCACCCGGAAACTGGAAACTGTTCCTGTGCTGCTGTTGCCACAACTGGGTGCTTACCAAACCCCAGTTCTGCCCTGCCCTGCCCTGCCCTGCCCAGTGGGGGGGTGAGGGGGGTTGCTCCCTGCCTTTGAAATCAGCTCGGTGTTATTAGTGAGTCAGTGTTGCAAATACATTGCTACAGATCTTTAATCTTGATTTTCACTGAAGTTGGAATTACTGATTTCTTTCCCAAAGTTGTGTGTTTCAGAACTGACTGGGTTTATTGACATAAACTTACTTTAGTATGTTTGCTTCAGAAAAAAAGATGAAATCAGTTTTTTGGTTTGTTTTTGTTGTTTTTTTGTTTTTTTGTCGTTCAGCCTTCAGTGTCATATGCTGTGATGAACTTGATTATTTTGAGTTATGAGGTTCTGTGCAGTGGCCTGGCTGCTGGGAGAGCGTTGTGAGCTTTTGTGCAGATCTAAAGGCTGTGCTAGGCATGGCCAGAGCTGAGAGCAGAGCTGGGATTACAGGTGTGGGACCCCATTCCCGGCAGGATCTCTCTGTTAACACAGCTCTCCTTGCACGTTAAAGACAGCAGAGGGTCTCTTTGTTTCTTAATTTCAACTCTATCACTTTGGAATGCCACCCCTTACCCCAGGTTTATAAAAAAAAAGTCTCTATATTTTTCCTGTGACGTCCATAATTTTGTTCTTCACATTACACTCTATAATCCTCTTGGGACTTTCTTACGGTACAAGTTAAGGGCATAACTTCATTTCTTTCTAAATTATTGAAAAAGTACTTGCCCCTCCATCATATATTGAATATTTCATTTGCCCCATTGATTTAAAAATGCTACTGTATCTTTTTTTTTTTTTTTTTTTTTTTTTTTTTTTTTTTTTTTTTTTTTTTTTTTGATACTAGGAATCTTAACTCAGGACCTTGTACTAGCAAGGCAGGTACCAGAGCCACTGAGCTAAATCTCTGGCCCTAAAAATGCTTCTGTGTCATGTATTAATTTTTCTTTTGATTTTTTTTTCCCCCCAGTACCAGGAACTGAACTCAAGACATTGCACTTGACAGGCAAGTGCAGTGCCACTGAGCTAAACCCAGAGCCCTCTTTTTAATTTATTGGAATGTAATAAATTTATAAATATGTGAAGTACTAGAATGGACACTCTGTTTTGGGGGTTTGTTTGTTTGTTTTTGAGATAAACTCTCACTATGTAGTCCAGACTGGCCTTGAACTCATAGCAGTCCTCCTGCCTCAGCCTCCCAAGTGCTGGGATTACAGGTGTGGGACCCCGTTCCCAGCAGAATCTCTCTGTTAAGAAGTCATAGCAGCCAGCAGGCTGATTCTTGCTTCTGACCCAAGCAGGGGAAGAGTCTGAGAAGAACAAGGAGACCATGCAGCCCTGTGCCAAGTGTGCTCCTGGCTGCTTGTCTCCGTTGCCTGGGTGCTCTGGTCCACCACGGTGTTGCACACTCAGAGACTGTGAGCTCTCAGACTGTTCCCTTAGGTTAGTCACTCCTCTCCTCCCTGTTCCTAGCTAAACTCTCCTGCTGTCAGCATTGTCCCCTCCCTGAGACCAGCCTGCCCGCAGTGTTAAACGTGTGGCTGTCCAAGTCACTTATCCAATCCCACTGTGGGCTGGACTGCGAGGTGCTGAAGTAGTTGTGAGCAGATCTCCACCCTGTGCCCACCAGAGCTTTTCTCCTGTGGGAGCCATGCACAAAAGAAGCCACCAGAGATGTACTGTCCAAGTGTGGTGATTCTGTGAAGAGCGCTACCAGACCCAGAAGCTAGAGGTGCAGGCTCGGCTGGATCTCGCCTCCCACCACCCAGGAGATGGTGCGGGGAGGGAGGTGCCCTCCGGGTCACTTGGTTTTCTCTCCATCCCGCTGTGATGTGAGTGAGATGTGTGCAGAGAACACAGTCTCCCTACCCTTGTTTGTGTGAAGCTCCCAGGGTGGAGTGGCTCAGGGACAGCCTGAGCTTTTCTTTTGTTCATTGCTGTTGTGTCCTAGACAGACAGCATTGATGAGAGGTGCAGCGGAGGAGGAAAGACAGTGGGCAGAGGGGTGCAGGGTCTAGGACATGTGTGAGGGCAGTGCTGCAGTCAGCATGCACTGTGCCTGCTGCTCTCTCTTCCTTTGCAGTGCATGTATGTATTTTGGTCATAGTATTTTTAGACATTAATTTCCACTCACTTTGAAGAATCCAGAGCTCTAGAGATGTTGTCGCCTAACACTGCCACTTTTACATATACTCTATAAGACTGGATAGCTGTATGTTTTCCAACAGATTTATTAAAATATTGTCCCCATATCTTATAATCCATCCTTGTAAAAGGTGTAATTCATTGGCTTTTAGTACGAATATAAGATTCATCATGCAACCATCATCGTGTCCAGTTTTAGAACATTTCTATCCGCCAGAGAAAATCTCATGCTCACCAGTGGTTCTGCCCTTCCTCCCTGCTCCCTAACCCACCCTGGCCCCAAGCAGCCACCCGTCTACTTCCCGTCTCCATAGAGCGCCTCTTCAGGACACCCGTGTGAATGGAATTGTACAGTGTATGGGTTTTCTGACAGGCGTCTTTGGCTCATCCACATTGTGGAGCATAGGTCAGTATTCGGTTCCTTTTTTTTGTTTGTTTTTACCAACTAATTTATTTCCAGTAGTATTCCTTTATATCGATAAACTACACCTTATGCACTTTTCTTGTTGACAAACATTTGGGTTATTTCTGGATTTGGGCTGTTATGAATAATACCATGGTAAATTTTACATATAGGCTTTTGTGTGAATGTGTTTTCATTTCCTGTGGGTGTCATAAGTTAACTGTGTGTGTATGACAGTTCGAACATGCCCAGGTCTTTTTTAAGTGACTGCACCATCCTCTGTTCCTCTCAGCCAGGTCTGGGGATGCCAGCATTTGTCACCTGTCTCCTGTGGGTGTGACGTGCTCTCTCTGTGGTCTGAATCTACATTTTTCTGACAGCCAGTGATATGGGCATCTTTCACTTGTGCACCACAGACCTTAGCCCTAGTGTCCAACAGAGCCCCACTCTGGGTCACCTCATGTGCCCCTTTTCCTCTCCAGCTAAAGCAGCTTAGCTTCAGAGAGACGCAACTGAGAAAGAGCAGGAGCTGGGGAGGATTTTGGCCTCTAGGTTCCGGGGCACGAATTACGTCAGCTCCAGTGTCTCTTCGTTTCAGTCAGATTTTAAATATAACCACCATCTGTTTTCTTCAATTGAATTATCTAGTTAATCTGTTTCTCAGGGGTGGACAATTTTTCTAATAGTCAAAATACGATCACAAAGCCAAGTAACAGTATACTTAAGAAATTCAAAGTAACAAAAGTAAAGCTGCGCCCACTAATTTGTACAATTCTTTAGTTGACTGTGTTGAATCCCTAAATAGAGCACCAGCAGCCCTGCTCAAGAAATCACCTCAGCCTCCCCCAGCCCACCCTTACCTGGGAGGGACAGAGAAGGGAGGGAGTGCAATGTGGTGTGGTGGGGTGCAGTGAGGCCTAGGCGTGGGGCGCAGTGGGGCTGCACTGGCAAAACTAGACCAGAGAGAATATGAAATGGAGAGGCGGGGCTGGGCCAGGGATCATGGGATATTTCAAAGTGGAACAAACCGGGCGGCTGTGATGCAGAGAAACAGACAGACGTGAGAGGTGCTGTAGCAGAAGCAAGACTCCGTGACTGATTCGATTTTGGGTGTTTAGGGAAATACCAATAACCAGGTTTCTGACTAGAGTGAGTGGACTCAGGACATGTGGGCTCATCAAATCATTACAGGTGGTGGGCACCCAGCGCATTCTGGGGTAACTCAGACTTGGTTCCCAGACTCACAGGAGAGCGCTATCCTCCATTCCCTGGGATATCTGCACCACGGTGGCCGGACGGGCCTGGTGCCTCTGCCCCACACATGTCCTAAGACCTGCTGTCCTTGAACTACCACCGCTATGAGGTGGGGGGCTATGATCACGAACCCCCAAGCCCCACAGTAGAGTTGGAGAGGGCTTCCCCCAGAAAGCTTTTGTGTGTTCTGGGCAGATGAAGCAGTCATGTCCCTGCATGACCCTGTGTCCACCAGCAACTGCTTTAGGCAAGTGTCTTTATTCTGTAAGCATGGATTGGCGCAGTAAGACAAAAGGCATAGCAGTCGTCTGCCTTGCAGGATGGAAGAGGAAACAGAAAGATCCTCAAGTGTTCTGTCCCCCTCAGCGGACCAGAACGTGACCTCCTCTGGGTTCCAGAACATTTACCAGGGGGCATCAAATACACCCTCCTTTCTCAGACTAGTGTAAGGTTTTAGTCTGGAGTTTTGTTCCATACTCTGATGCCTTGAGGCTACTTTTCTGTTGTTGTTGTTGTTGTTGCTGTGATTTGTTTGTTTTGGTACCAGGGATCAAACTCAGGACCTTGT